ATATATATTATATATATGTATATATGAAAAATATATGAAAATGCATGTGGATACTCAAATGAAAGCTCTTGACGAGTGTAACATTGGGATGAGCTTATATCTTTAAAAATGTCAATATTTTACAAGATAAAAGGTAATTCCTTAATTATGTATCTAGAGATGGAGAATTTTCGAATGCAACCTAAATACTTATCATCATAAATTGACTATTGGTGAGAATGATATGAAATCTTGAAAAGGTACAACTTCAAGTCAAGACCTTTCTAATGATACCAAATTTAACCATAAACACCCATTTTATCATATACAAAATATTCTTATTCTCTTAATAATTTAGATAATAATAATAAAATAGTAATGATGATAAGTTTGAAATTTTCATTACAAAAAACTGAAATTAATCATTTTGAAAATTAATTTTGAACAATTTAATAATAAAAAATTTTAAGTACAAAAATTATTATTATTATTATTATTATTATAGATTATAACATATGAAATAAATCATAATGTCGAAAAAAAATCATTTAAAATTAATTAAAAAAATTTTTACCCATATCATTGATAAATATGTTAAAATAATAATAATAATAGACAAAAGTAAATAATTATTTTCTAACACTCAATACTTAACTTAAATTACTCTAAAAAATTATCTATTATTTTTAAAATTATTTAGAAAGTTGTTTCAAACTTTCATTAAAATTATCTTCAGTAATTACCATTATCAAAAGAAGAAAAAAAATCAAACAAACTGATAATTTAACTCTAAGAAATTTGTAAGCACGAGACACGTGGAGTAATATATATGTTTATATTTATAGTTTTGCCGGCGAGTTTAACGGAATGAAAAAAGAGCAAAATCAAAGTGGTTTTGTAAGGACGGCTACCTTGGAATTTATTTGGCAATTAGAAATAAACTTCCATCCTAAATAATAATTATACTAATAATAATAATTATTTAAATGAAAACGTGATTTAGAAGCTAGGAGGTAATTAAAGCGTAATTTATGTATTTATGTATTCGGGCAATAAATGCTTGAGAGTTGGTTAGACTAACCTTGAGCAAAAATCGAGAATATTTGCGAGATGAGTTGAGTACACGTGTCGTAGTATCGGAGCTAACTGCCGTCGTGAAGAAAGTATACTCGCACTCTACCCCACTGAATCTTCCCTCTATCCCCACCAACTAATATATAGATAATATATACTGTATATTTGTATATACAGAGTGAGTACGTGTAAAGTGTACTTCTTGCCCTGTTCTAGTACTCTGAAGGTCCGGGGATTCCCTACGAGTATTTCAGGGCCGTAATTCCGGACACTTGAGCCCAAAACTCGACACAATACTACGAATAGAATGCGAGTGTCTGGGACGATAAGCGCGAGTCGATTATCGGGTCTATTCGAATTCTGGTGACCTATTTCGCTCCGAAATGTCTGGTTAGAGGTATTGAATTGGGTCAAAGAGCTTTAGACAATGGTATTGACGACTGACGGCTCCAATAGACAATACAGATAGAAAAAACCCCGCGGAAAAAATATATATGTAAAAATACCTACTAGCTTACATTTAATTAAATGCATTATTTTTTTTTTAATTAATTTTAAAAATTTGACACTAAAATTAGCAGACGCTCGACAATTTTTTTATTTTCCTTTAAAAATGAACTAATAATAAAAAATTGCACTTGTATTTTTTTAGAGCTTCTAAAAATGCAATTTTTAAAATGCATTATTTTTGCTATAATTTATTTGTTAAAAAATTATTAGAATCATTTTAAAATAAGGATCAGTTTAAATTTATTAAATAAAAATAATTATTATTTATAATAACTAGTAACCTTGCAGTCACTATGTGAGTTTCGTGACTTGTGAACTATAAATAAATAACATTTTGCTTTATTAAATAATGACTTTTGTTAAATTGCACTTTACTTTCTTAAATATTGACATTTTTAAAGATATAAGCTCATCCCGATGTTACACTCATCAAGAGCTTTCATTTGAGTACCCACATGTATTTTGATATATTTTTCATATACACATTAGGGTGACGCAAAAAAGCCGACTATTTTTTTTTTTTAGTCTCGAGTGAAAAAATGTTAGTTTTTGATGTTTTAAGAGCCCTCACCACAGGACAGCTCAAAAAAAAATTTTTAAGAGGTCACTCCAAATTTTTCAAAATTTCATAATTGACTCCGAATATCATTTCACAAATTAAAATAATTAAATTTCATATACTTTTTTTTTAAATTCATTATGAAATTCATCTGGATTCCAGCTGACTTTCATGATGAATCTCGAAATATTTTTTTGCATATTGTGTCCTTCTACTCATAAAAATTTATCCAGATAGAAGTTTAAGAATCGTAAATAATGAGTCAGCGTGAGTTAAACTAAAAATTCTAATTAAACTGTCTCTAAATATTTTTTCACTTATTAAAAAAATTAAGTTTCATATACAATGTGTTTCAAACTCATCATGAAATTCATCTGGAATCCCAGCTGACTTTCATGATGAAATTCATATTTGTTTCACAATCTGAAGTTCATCCAAAAATTCATCCGGAACTAAAATTTAGTAAAAGATCGCTCAAAAAAATCTAAACTAATGCACTAATAAATTGAAAAAAATTATGAACGACCTTTCAAAATTCGAATTTTGAACTGAAATTTTCAGAAACATTTTTTTTTAGTCTATAAAATTATACCGTAAAGAGAAAAAAAATTAAAAAAAAAAATTTGATTTTTGACGATTTTTGAAATTTTGAAAAATTTGGAGTGACCTCTTAAAAATTTTTTTTTGAGCTTTCCTTTGGTGAGGGCTCTTAAAACATCAAAAACTAACATTTTTTCACTCGAGACTTAAAAAAAAAAATAGTCGGTTTTTTTGCGCCACCCTAATACACATATATAATATATATAAATATATGAAAAATTGATGTGGGTACTCAAATGAAAGGTCTCGATGAGTGTAACATCGGGATGAGCTTACATCTTTAAAAATGTCAATAATTGACGAGATACAAAACCATTTCTTAATTATGTATCTATAGAGATAGAGCATTTTCGAATGCAGTCTAAATACCAATCGTCATAAATTGACTATCGGTGAGAATGATATGAAACCTTGATAAGGCACAAATTCAAATCAAAACCTTTGCAATGACACTATATTTCACTAAAAACCGATTTTATCTTATGATTAATCCGGACACAAAATTTTTCTTATTCTCTTAATAATAATAGATACTTAATAAATTGAATGAATAATTACCGACGCAAGTTGGCAGTCTGTCGATATTCTCGTTCCAGCGCCCATTTCGACAGTCAAGAGTCCTTGTGGGCTCCTTTGTATCCGGGAATATCGTCCCCGAGAAGCACTTGAAGGTTCTAGAGTCGAGGGTATCGTTGGTGACGTAGCTTCCTTTAGGGGCTGTCGTCTCCGGGCAACTCCTTATTGCTGGAATAATTTATAAAGATCAAGAATTTCTCAATTAATTTTTCTTTACTCAAATCGAAACCATAAAACTCTTAAAAAAATTTTCCTGGTTCCAGAATTCTTCTGGAAAATTTTTTTGAGACGAAAAATAGATCTCTGTACCTTCGTAGTGAAGCAAAAATCCCCTTCCTGGATAGACACGTGACGAAGAGATGAGATCGACTGTTATCTTGTTAGAATGGGAGATTATTTTAACTCCAGCTCTCGTTCCGCAGGAGTCAAATAAAATTCTACCGTTCTCACGAATCCTAACGCTGTCAAGGCAGCTTCCGTTCGGTTCAGGACCTGGGGTTTCATTTGCAAGTGAATAAAGTAAATTACAATATGAATTATTGTTTAAAATAAAAATAGAGCGGTTAACAAAAAAATTTATTTTGTTGTAAAAAAAGTGTGGGAGCTTGATGAATTTTTTTAAAAATATTTTATTGATAGATATTTAAAAAAAAAAGTTATAAAATTTTTTTTATATTTTTTTTTGTGTCAAGAAAATTTTCTTAATAATAATTAATAGTATTTTTTTCTTTGAGTACAAAAGCGTGATAATAAATAATTAATAATTATAATAATATTAATTCTATAAAAAAAAAAAACTTACTGCGAATATTAAAGTCATGGAAGACCAGTGAAACTCTGTGACCTGGAACGGTATGGAAAGTCCAGTTACAAGCGAACTGTCCAGGATAATACAGAGGATAACCCGGAGACTTAACATA